TTACATCCCGCAGAGCGCGCCGGAGATCGAGGAGCGGGGGATCGCGATGGAGCTCATCGCGTCGCCGTCGACGCCCGGGATCCTCGCGGACCTCGCCGCCTCGGCGGACGTCGAGACGATCTTTGAGGAGCAGCACGTCGTGAATCACCTCTCCCAGCTCGAGCGACGGACCCGGGCGTATTGCAAGAAGGATCGCGTCTTCTCCTTCGGCGCCGTGCTGCTCGGTCGCCGCGTCGAGGAGCGGTTTCGCATCGCGAACTGCAGCTCGCTCCCATGTACGGTGGTGGTCCAGCTCGCGAACAGCCGGGCGCCGAACCTGCGAGGGAGTTTCAGCCCTCCGACCTCGCTCCCGGTCGCGACCGCCGGCGCGAATTCGGTCACCTCGACGGTCGATCACGCCTTGGCGACGCCGGAGTGCTTCGATTTGGCGTCCAACCGCATCGCGGACGCGCTCGTGCAGTCGCCCACGCAGCTGCGCATGGTGCTGCCGCCGTTTGAGAGCCGCTTCGTCGCCGTCGCGTTCACGCCCGCCGCGTTGGAGCACCTCAGCTGCCTCTTCGCCGCGACGGTGGAGGGTGGGGTGAATCCGAACTCCCGCAGCCTCCTCTTCGACATCACCGGCGAGGGCACCTTGCCGATGATGGTGTGTATCATGCCGCCACGGATCTTCGCGAACGACCTCCGCGGGGAGGGGAATGTCGAGCTCACGAGTATGTCGCTCATGAGCCGACAACCCCCCGCGCATGGGCGAACCCCAAAGGGTCTCGCCAAGGACGCCCATCGCAAGAGCACCTTCGAGCAGTCCGTCCTATCCTCCGTGCTGCATGACGTTTCGAAATCGACGCCGTCGACGACGCAAGTCCTTCAGCTTCCCTTGACGTTGGTCGGAACGAGCGCGACGCGCGCCTTTACGGTGCAAAACGTGGGGGAGATCCCGGCGGATGTGCGTTTGACGCTTCTCGGCGAGGATCCAGCCGCGGGCGCCCTGCAGGTCGACAAGCTTAATCAAGACGTCACCATCCCGGTCGGCGCGAAGGAGGTCTTCGAGGTCCGCTTTGAGCCCACGAAGGCCGGGAAGTTCTTTATGAAGCTATGCGTGTCGCTTACCGATAACCCGTTTGAGAATAAGGAGATCCTGGTGGAGGCTCGGAGCTATACCCAGCTCATCTCCTTTGAGGGGATCGACCCCGCCAGCACGGATCTCGTCGACCTCGGCGATTGCTACCTAGGGAACCCCAAAAAGCACACCTTTACGATGAAGAACAACACCAACGAGGATATTCGCTTTGTCTGGCAAATTCCACGCGCACTGGTGGAGGCGAAAAATGCTCTTGGGGGCGGGGGTGCTTCGACCGCGGCGATCCAAATCGAGCCCGATGTCGGCCACATCTTCGCCGGGAGTGTTAAAACCCTGGTGTTAACCTTCACGAGCTACGAGACGGCCGCGGTTCGTAAACTCCTCACCTGCCGCCTCTTAGCGCAGTCGATCAAACTCAAGCGGAACTTCGAGACCTGGGAGAAGGCGAGCACGAACACGAACGTCTACGAGGGCCCCACCGAGGATGTGCTGGAGTGGGATAGCACGACGACCACCTCCAAATGGGTTTCCGATATCGAGGATGACGCGGGGATGGTCGGCGCGGGGCTGACCGGGGGTGCCTTTCAAGTTCCTGGCGGAAAATACATGGAAGCGGGCCGTCGCCACCTCCGTCGGGTGATGCAGCCCGTCCCCGAGCCGCCTTATCAACTCACCGACACCTTCGCCATCTCCCAAGAGCTCCACGTCGGCTACCACTGCGAGGTCCCCACCTATGAGCTTCAGATCCAACACGAGGGGAAACCGGGCGAGGGCGGGGCCCTCTTCCGTGCGATCCCCCACACGGACCTCCACTTCGACCCCACGATGCTCTACCAGCGGCGGATTCTCACGCTGCGGGTGCGGAACACCGGCACGATTGCGTTGCCCTTTGCCTTCCGGATTGAACGCCCGGTGGGGGAAGGGGGGGGGGAGGCCGAGGCG